TATGCTGTTATCAGCATATTGTAACGTAACAAATCTTTTACTTATTCATTTTCATGAAATTAACTTAATTCTAAGTTAATTAATTGAAATAACAATTATTTCAGTTAATTGATTGAGATCTAGTTTTTAAATTCACAGAAATATATTAGTTAATCGTGAATCCAAATTAGTTGCTAGATGGAAAATAAAATGCAAATATTGTCAATATGACCTTCGCATTGCAACATTTGCATAGGATCATCGATAACCTTGTTATGAATCGATTGATGAGTCTGGAACAGTCTCGTTTGAAAGATGCGCATTCATATCAGGATTTCTAAGAAATATACACGATAACAACAATGTTGCCAGTTTGCTGTATCTTTGCTTTAATCAGTTGAATTAATAATGAATAATGATATCTGTAGTTGTCTCGTTATGCGCTCGATTGAAGTTCTGATGGACTAACTTGCAAGCTGCAACATTTCCGGCAGCTTGTGCTCAATTAATTATTTTCTCATATAAATTTGAAGGTATTATACTATTTCGCGTGAGAATCCCTACGGCGATTTCCCTTATAAAGTCCGTTGAATTCCAACCCAGAACACAAAATTCACTACGCGGTTGCACGAACAAATTCACGGAGGGTCACAGATCAAAATTGAGATCTCCAGAACTCTGGTAAGCTCGTCGCTCGCAATACTTCTCGAGAAATTCGCCCGGATTCCACAAGCTGTGACACGTAAATGTAACGCTCCTCTCGCGTCCCAGATCCTTTGATCTGCCCAGTCGAAGACATCAAATCTGAGATTTCCCATTAAGGAAAACACGCTCACGCGGAAAGAGACAACCGATAAGTTTTGTATTTACTCGAACAAAAAGATTGATAAATCAATAGCATCCTTATACAAGCAAATTCTTACGTAAAATCAAAATACAATTAATAATCTAGTGAAAAGTGTTCGACAATGTCGAAATGATCAACTCTTCAAATTGTATTTTAAAGAGGAAAAATTATTATATGTTATTATTATAAAATAAAACAAGTCATAAAAATGAAAAACTTTTTTCATTTTATAATATAATGTGTTTATCTTCTCTCTCTCGAGACGACGTTGATGACAGAATTAAATGTTTGAGCGAGCGTAAAGCGTAAAATGAGTGATCGAACGTATCATATTGAATCGCTCGGATAATCGAGGTTCTACAGTGGCAAAAGGATTTATATGGGCAACGTTCACGTCCACACCCAGATAAGTGTCCTCGTGCGACGTTCGCCGAATGCGCTTCATGCATCATCATGCAAAACGGATTGATTGAGGGTCTGATGTCACAGTCGGCAGATGCCGTATATAACATTCGCATTATTTTTATTTCCGTTTGCGACAATAAATACCACGATTTGTGTGTGTGCGTGTGTGTATGTATGTATGTGCATATGTTTGCCAGTGTTCCACGCCTCGTGATGCATCGCGATGACGATGACACGGTGTCGTGCGATTCGTCACGCGTCTCGGAATTCACTTCGCGATCCCGTAAGCCAAACCACCGTCGACGATGGTGGCGGTGAACATCGTAATTGTACGCATGGTTATACGCGTATGCGTAATGCGCACTTGCGTTTATCCGCGAGTAAAGTCGCGCGCGAAATCGCGTGACGAATGGATGCTGAGCCAGACGTGTTTTCTCACGCGATATCCCTTCACGATTATAAATACGAGAAATTGGATTGGCTAATATGATAAAATAGATCTCAAACAATTAATTTTTAATCAATTAAAGTAATCTAGAAATTTAAAGAAAGAATTTAAATTATTCATTTAGAAATAATTAAATAATAATTTAGTCAAGAAAATGTCCAAATAGCTTTGCACATTTAGTATGGAATTTGATGACTATAAAATGTAATGTAATTTCAATATGTTCATTCAAAGTGCAAATTATTACATTGTCGATACTCCTCTCATACGACTGATTAAATCAACTTTCGCAATTAAACAGGTTCCACATCATTTCGTTATAATATACTTATTGCTTCACAAATATACAGTGCATTAAATCATGTATAATGTTAAGCCCGATAAATTGTACAATATAATTTACGATTCATAATTCTCTTTCTCTTTTTTTTCTTCCTGTTCACCGCAAAGCTTTCAATCTTTAAATTTTAAATATGTGTGAGCGAGCCGCACCAATTAACCTTAAACTCTGAAGAACTTAAACGAATGCCCAGCTTTACTTTTATACGCGCTATTCATATTTATGATAATCTAAGTGAGTGAATATATGTGAGAAATTACAAATTGATATAGACTTTTAGAATCTCGAAAGAGCCATAAAACGTTACGAGTAAATATAATTATAATAATCTACATTCCTGTTTATTTCACTTAAACTACTCATGTCTAATATTAATTTTTTATTTATTTTATTGATTTTATTGATGTTAA